AATGTCTAACTCAGACTTAAGATATGGAATTTCTCTAAGTTCACACAGTCTATGTAGGTCATTACAGAAACGAATAGATATTTTGATTTTAGCTATTAAGTTTCAAACTTTATTCACAGAAGAATCAACTATTTCTAATCCTTTCTTTACAGCCAAATTGAGAATGTGAGCAGCATATCTATAATAAAAAAATCCGATATTATCAAATTTAAATTGCAGTTCCTGTGTGATTAATCTTTCACAAACAATCATTGCGGCCTCATTGTCTGTAGTAAGTGCTAGAGTTTTATCATTGATATTAAAATGAGTAAGAATATTTTTAATAGTATCTGCTATATTTATGCCCATATATCTATTATTAAACAGAATAATATCCAAGAGAAAATGATGCAAACTCCAATTAGTATCAAACATAGTGAATTGTAACACCAAGAAATGCTTCAAAATTTAAAGAAGACCACATATCAGCTATCAAGGAAACCTTTCCAGAAATTTTAGCAATATCATTAACTATTATATTACATTTATTATCAAACTTATATATAATTTTTGCCTTTACAGCTTGTCTTGAAGGTATCGTATACCGAGGATCGAGAAAGTTAATGAACTTCTGAATATTGAGTAGTTGAGAATTATTTTTTTAGTTGACAAACTAGTTGCAACTAATCAATTAATCGATTAATTGTTAAGTTGCAATTAATTGAATAATTGATTTTTCAATTAATTGTAAATTATAACTAATTGTTTAATCAATTAATCGATTAGTTGCAACTAATTATTACAGTTTGCAAAAATATTTGAAATTTGATGATCAAAAAAAAAAAGTAATAAATCAATGATTTCTGATTCTGATTTTCCAATTTTTTTAACATTTTCTTAGGCTTTTAGATTAGACTTTAATATACAAATCACAATAATTAAAGAATTAATTAATTTTTTGCAACACTATCTGAAAATACCAATTGTCAACAATAGTAAATAGTTGCTAGTCGACAATTATTCAAGTAATTAATTTTTCATCCCACTTTTTTTGTTCTTTACTATCATATGCATCAGTTTGGGAAAAGTGAAGAGTAGTTTGACATTTAGCTGGTGCAATGATGTTATGTCTTTTAAGATGTCTTCATAAAGATGAAACTCCAATTTTATTCGAAAAAACATCACCACATCTTTTACACACAGGTTTTCCAGGATGAGCAGGTGTGTCAAAACTGAAATAAGGCCAAATTAAACTTTTTCTAGGTCTGTTTCTTTTAATATTACTACTTTGAGAGGGTGCGCTAATTGAGGTTTCATGGAATATTTGGCTATTAATATCTGAGACATTATCTTCAGACATTTTATTGGTGTCATTTTCAGGATCAGAAAAATAATCATTAGGTTCAAAGGAATTGTAATCTTCCATTTTTTTTTTAGTGATTTATTTTTTTTTTTTACAATTAAAAAATGAAGCTTTATATATTGATATAAAATCTATTATTGTAGATAGCTTTGATCTTATTATGATAAGTATAATTATTTTATTTTATTTTAAATATCAGTGTTAATCACTTTACATTTAGATTTTTGATTACAAAATACACCTATCTATATGCGATTCTTTAGCTAAAATTAATTATTAGAATTTTAGATATCAAAAAAAAAAAAATCGTGGAGAAACCTCACTAAGTTTATCCTATAGAACTAAACTTTTAACAATGTGTATCTAACGAACAATAAGAAAAAAATATATTTATAGAGGTCAAGTATATTCAGGCCAGAATTTAAAAATGCATTTAGAGAAGATGCATTATAGAGGTTTCTCTGTATTCAATAATTTCTTTGTTAAAGATCAATTACACTTACTTTGATCTAAATTCCTTTAGATGTTTCCATATATATGTTCATTGAAATAAGTTTTTACTCATACTATCCTATTCATTTTTGATAAATGAATTGCACATTTTGAGCCTTTGCTACTAGATATTCATGGCTTTATTGCCTTTATTATGCATATCTTTAATCTTTTTTAGTACCTAGAGATATGCTAAATATGTATTTTTTGAAAGGAATTATGAATTTGTAGTATACGCGTGATTCACTGGGCCAAATTCATAATAATATTGTTCTTGCCACTCGACATATGCGCAGAATCATTTTTGTGATATGTATGCTAGATATTCAGATTTGTATTATCAATGGGAAAATATGCATTATCAGATCATGCGCATAAATGCATATATATAAATGCGCATTATCGCCTATCTTTAATTCAAGGAACGGGATAATAAAGCCAATTGTAATTCTATCTAATATGTATCAGACTTTTAAATTTTTTTATATTTGAATAAAGTAAGAATCGAATTCTGTATCAGTAAATTAAGGACCAATCCAGACCCGGTCCTTAATTTTAGACTAAAAGATTACTTAACCGGTTCAAAAGACCAGTCTGGACCATGGTCCCTGCAGGACCGTAATATCTCTACTTGTTAGGATGATATTTGTTACTATAGAAGTGACAGGTAATAATTTTAAGATATTTAGGGCAGGTATATTAACAAGATTGGCATGTAGAAGAAGGTGGAATATTGCAGAAGTTTCTGAGATTTGTTGAATAACTTCTGTAGCCTTTTGAGATAGCTTTTTACTAGTAGATACTCAAAAAAATGTAGCGGCAAGTTGATAAATAGAATTGTTTTTAGCGATAAATTGAGTATGGTATTTGCCACATAAGCATATAACAATTGATGTTGATTTTGGTGTATGGAAAAAGTGTGCAGCTATCTTAGTACGTGTAGTTTTGATATGGCAGTTAGAAGGTTCCTGGCTTGGTGGAATTGGTTTAATATCGTCAGTCAGTTTGTCTTCAAGAAAGGCAATACCAAAAGCTTATAGAGAAGTAAGCATAGAAATAGTCAAGGTCAATAGTATCTGGTTCTTGCTGGGTTGAAGTGGGCATTTTGAAGAATCAAAAAAGGATAAAAATTAATAAATTTAACTTAGAATTTGTGATGAAAATTAATTTTTTGTAGTATTTTTTCTAAGTTGAAAATAGGGTATAAAGATAAAACAGGGTTGTGTTATTATATACTATTCTGGGGTAAGTAAAAATGGGGTTTTAAATTTAGATTACACAAGGTCACATGACCTTTAGGTTGGATTTTGAAGTTTTGTATTATAGTAAGTCACATGATAATCACATGTTGCACAAAACCAAAAAGGAATTCTTATTGTATAAATAGGAATTACAAAAAAAGCAGATATTAAAATTGTGCAATATTAGTTAGAATGATGCATTTTTAGTGTGATTTAAAGAGCACCACTAGTTTTATAGTATTGTAGAACGTGGGTAGCATGGCTGGAATGGCCTTAGTTATACAGAAAACATCTCTAATTTTTGGAGAAAAAAAAAATTCCTCAAGTAAAAGAAAAGAGGAAAAGTAAAAGAGTTAGAAATTGCTTTGCTTATAACTCAGTTAATATTGAGGTCTATTATAGCTTGTTTTGAAGAGAAAAATGTGTAGAATAATTTGTTCTTAATTTTGAACAGAGTTTAAGACTCTAGTTTAAATATAAACATTGAAGGAAGACTATTTGGCCTAAAAGGCCATAACTTTAAGAATTTGGATCCATTTCTTTTAAAATTTTTATATTATATGTAAATTTAGATAAAAAGCAAGTTTTGTTAGAGCAAAAAATTAAATTATCTTAATAAAATATTGTAAAAATAGACTTTTTGTTGGATAGTTTTAGAAATTTTTTGTACTAAGGATCTATGGAAAGAGTTTTCGTGCCTTAATTAATTGGCATTTGGACTATTTATCAGATAGAATTTATAATAAAAATAAGTTTTTTGTAAATTTTTTCTAAGTTAAAAAAAGAGTATAGTAATAAAATAGAGATTATTTAAGATAGAATATTCGGGGTAAATAAAAATAGGACCTATATTTTAGGTTATACAAGGTCGCATGATCTAAAAATAGAATTTTATAGTTTTGTATTATGCAAGTCACATAATAGATCACGTGTTAAGAAGCAAAAAAAGAAATCTTATTGTATAAATAAAAGGTTACCAAAAATGCAGATATTAAAAATTGTGCAATTTTAATTAAAAATTTGTAATTCTGGTATAATTTAGCAAGTACCACTAATTTTGTAGTATACTAGAACATGTGTGGCACAACTGGAGTGGCTTTGGTTGCACAAAAAATGTCTCTAATTGTTGAAAAAGGGAGAAATTCCTCAAGTAAAAGAGAAAAGATAAGGTAAATAGAGTTAAAAATTGGTTTGCTTATAACTTGGTCAATATTAAAGCTACAGAGATTTATTATAGCTTGTTTTGAAGAAAAAGGTTTGTAGAACAACTTGTTATATGTTTTAAGAAGAGTTTAAAATCAGGGTTTTGTGTAAACAGCAAAAGAAACTTATTTAGCTTGGAAGGCTATTATTTAAAGAGTTTAAGAGCTATCTCTTTTTTTTTTTTTAATATTAAGATAACTACTTAGGTCCCTAGCACATAGCTTTATTCAGATAATTACGGTATTACATCAATTTCACAAAGATACAACTGGCTACATGTGTACTTTTGGTACCTAATTTAAGTAGTCCGCCAGGGTTCTACACTAGCCACCATATCTGCAACCTAACTAAAAGATTATCTATTTAAGCTCTCTAATTATTTAACTAACAAGAGTATGACTAGCCATACATGCAACTTTTGGTTGCCTATTTAAGTAGTCTGCCCTAGGTTCTACACTAGCTACTGTACTTGCACCCAACTATGGGGGATACCCATTTAAATCCTCTGGCTCCATTTTTGTAACACGCTTTATCCTAACACTCTTAATAAGATTAGCAATGCCATGTAAAGACCCTAAGACTTTAGCCATATGGGCATTTATCCTTGTGATACTAATATTATTTATCTAATTGGTGTATAACAAAATGAATCTGATTTAAGGAAGTAAAAAGGTAACAATAATAAGGTAATATCAAACCCAACTAGCTATAATCACAGAAAAATGAGCAAAGTAGGAGTATTCTATACAACAAATGGAAAAGAAATCTGCTACTGCACTGATTGCAGAAAGCAAGTAAGAACAAAAAGTGAACAACAATCTATTAGAGGAATAAACATTATATACTTCTATTTGTTGGGAATAATCCAACAACTGATATTAGATGCCAAAGGTGTACAAACTGAATCATATTTTGAATCATACAAAAAATCAATAATAATCTTTACAAAGAAAATAAAACAGAAAATATTTTTCTTTAAGAACCTTACTGAAGAATATGAAATTCCACAAGAATATCATAATAGATTAATAGATACACTTCTTGCTGCCAATCTCATTGCCAATGAAATAGCAAACATAGATAATGACTACTTAGATGAGATTTATTTCAAAATAAATAATATACCCCAACCAGATACAATATATACAGAAATAATCAAATATTTACAGAGCATCTAGAAATGCATACAGATAATAGATAGAAAAGCTAATAACAGTCTTTTGTAAATAGAAAAAGCACTTACTCAATTTGATTTCTTTTGCCCAAAACCAGATAAATGATCTAATCGAAAACCTTAATTTTAATATTATATTTATTAAATAATTCTTTATAATCAGATTTAAATTCAAAGCCTAGATCTATTATTAATAATTTAAACCAAATAAGGAGACACTTTGGTTTATTATAAACTTTTTTAAAAGTTTTAGCTACACTATTAGCTGTTTTATCTTTTAAATATATTGCATATTTAAATCTTGAAGCGACATCAACTATATATAAACAATATTTATAAATGTTATTATTAATTATATCATGAAGCATATAAAGAATATCAGCTTGGTGATACTCATTAGAAATTTGTATACTATTAAATGATGCTCTAGAAATAAACTTTGGTTATGGTTTATAAATCTGATATAAAGCCTGTCTATCTAGCCATTCTTTTATATTATATAATAAAAAATTATAATCAGCTTTTTTACAAGCATCTAACAATTTTTTAGCTATTCTATAATAATTCCTAAATTGATAGTAAAGCTTTTGCAAAGTAAGATTCTGATCAAGATTACATGCTTTTTGAGGATTAATATAAACAACAGGTCTTATGAGTGCTAGGACGATTAACTACAAGCACAAAATGAGACCCTCCCACAGCCTCAGTACTCTAGCCACCCAAAGCTGCAGTACACATTCCAAAAACCATCTAAAGCCCAAAACAAGAAAAGGTTAGACAAAAGTTAGGGAAAAAGTCTAACCAATCTGAAAAAAACCTAACTTTATTTCTAAAAAAGAAAATAACTAATTGTAAAACCTAACTTTTTTATTTTTTACAGCTCTCAGCCTCTTAATCTTCCAAAAAATTATTCCATTTAAAATATATTTTAAGCCCCAAATATGATAGAGTATACCTCTTACTACCTGTTTTTATATGATTTTAATAACAAAAGAATCAAAATGATATACAATAAGTTAATAGATATTTTAAAGCTCTAGATATATCTAAAGATGTAAAAACAGTAAAAATGAACCAGAATCACTAATAACACACTACTACAATATATACAGTATATATATTTAGTTTTAAACTAATAAAAAAGAGTTTAAATATAGTATATATATATAAATTTACTATTTAAGTTTAGTATAGTCAGCCTAAATTATTATAAAAAATTTATTCTATCTGATTTAGTTTACTATATTCTAATTTTAATATAAACAGGTTTAGTATATTCAAAGTCAACTATAGTATATATATATATTTATTTTTTTTTTTTTTAATGTTAAAGGTGAGACCTTGCTCTTATCTTTATTAGATTTAATAAAAACTTTTTACATAAAC